TCTCTGAGCACGGCGTGATCGACACACGTGCACAATTCCTCGCAGTAGTCAAGGCACTACCGCGCGCATTCAACAGGTACGTAACACCTAGTGTGTTTACTAGTGATGTTTCCGAACCTTACGAAATCTTGAAACGTTCGATTCTTAAACCAGGAGACCTAACCGATCGACAAAGGTTAGATCAACTCCTCAATAACATCTACCTGCAACATGGTTCTGCGACTTACATGTTGCAACGAATGAGAGAGGTTATAAGCCCAAGAACTTTCGACGAAGGTCTATTCAAACAACTTTTCTTGTCAAAACTTCCCCAACAGGTGCAAGCAGTTCTGGTCTCGTTACAGAACAAGGCCTTAGACGAGCTAGCTGCATCTGCCGACCGCATTTTAAAAAAATTACGAAATCTTCTACCACAGAGATTTTTTCAGTCAAAGAAAAGCCTCAAACGACTCGGAATGACATAAACGAGTTATGTCATACACTTACACGTTATCTTAATCTTCATAACGACCGTAATCGCTCACACAGCCCCTGTAGAAGCATCTCACGTAAGCGATAGACGGATAACCCCGACTGGTGCTGGTATCATAACCAGTATGGAAATTCTTCCAGAAATTGCAGAAGACCCTGCAATCTTCCCAACTAAAAACCGACTGACTCGGAAAACTTCCAAGCCGGCACGCGTTAACGGCAACCGTAGCCGGAGAACAAAGCCGTCTGTTACACGTCACAGATGTGACAACGAGAGTTCGCTACCTCATCGACACTGGCGAAGAAGTTAGCGTTCTCCTAGCGAATCCCAACGACCGGCTTCACGAATCGGCTTTAAACTTACAGGTGGCAAACGGAAAACCTATCGCTAGGTATGGCAAAAGGTCTATTTACCTTAACGTGGGTCTACGCAAACCCATTCATTGGATCTTCGTTATTGCAGATGTTTCTATGCCAATCATTGGTATGGACCTTCTACAACACCATAATCTAATCATCGATACGCGCAAACGGAGGCTAGTAGACGGAAACACTAGTTTATCCGTTTGCGTAACTCCCTTTTCTGGTTGCAAATTATCCCCAGTCACAATTAAACATATGATAGACCCATTCTATCAGCCACTACTCGATAAGTACCCTGGGATACAACAAACTCAACCGAAACTACCGCGTGTAACCAGCAATGTTACACATCACATCACGACTACAGGACCACCTGTATTCTCTCAAGCACGACGACTAGCTCCTGAAAAGCTAAGGTTAGCGAAAAACGAATTCCATCACATGATAGAATTAGGGATCATACGACCGTCAAATAGCCATATGCATCTCCGTTGCACATGGTCCCTAAAAAGGACAGCAACGATTGGCGTCCAACTGGTGACTATCGGCGATTGAATGCAAAAGCCATTCCCGATCGTTACCCGTTGCCCCACATTCGCGATTTGACAGCTACCTTGAAAGGTACAACTGTCTTTTCGAAAATCGACTTGGTTAAAGCGTATAACCAAATCCCCATGACCAAAGACGACATACCGAAAACCGCCATCATTACCCCCTTCTGACTCTATGAATTTTTGCGAATGCCTTTCGGTCTAAGAAACGCTGCTCAAACATTCCAAGGATTCATAGACGACGTTTTTCGAGGTCTCAACTTCGTATGTGCGTATGTTAACGACTGCCTAATCGCAAGTCCGGACAGAGAAACACATCTCAAGCATCTGGATCTTGTTTTCGACCGACTACAAAAACATGGGATTACCGTAAAGGTTCAGAAATGCCAAATCGGAGCTGACTCATCAGACTTCCCAGGACACACTATAGGTGCTCAAGGCCTTGACCCCTTAGGACCAAAATGGCGGCAATTCTGGATTACCCAGAACCGACCACGATCAAGCAACTACGAACGTTTAACGGCCTTGTAAGTTTCTATAGGCGATTCATACAGAAATGCGCTTCACTCATGAAACCTCATACCGACCAACTTCGTGGAAATGCGAAATCCATTAATTTGGACGACAACGCACGAAAAGCATTCTCCACAGTTATGGAACTTATCGCGAAAGCAACAATGCTTGCACACCAGGACACTCGAGCACCCATTAGCATCGCAGTAGACGCAGCAATCGGAGGAGTCTTACAATAATGGGTTAACAACTCCTGGCAACCCTTGGCACTTTTCTCTAGAAGGTTGCTAGACACCGAATCGAGGTACAGCACATTCGGTAGGGAACTCCTAGCTATGTATTGTGCTGTACGGCATTTCCAACACTATATCGAAGGCCGTGAATTCACTCTTTTCACGGACCATAAACCGCTCACTTTCTCGATAAGCTCTCCTGACAAGTACTCTCCCCGTGAGTCTCGACAACTGGACTACATTTCGCAGTTTACTTCAGATATTCAACATATTTCTGGAGCAAACAATGTAGTTGCAGACGCCTCATCTCGCATAACTTCCTTGAACAGTTTCCAAGGGATCGACCTTCTTAAACTCGCCGAGCTTCAAAAAGAAGACAGTGATCTTCAGCATGAGTTATCGTCCACAACCCTTAAACTAAGCATCAAACAGATGGGAACAGGTAACGAAACCTTACTGTGTGACACATCTACAGGTAGGGATCGCCCAATCGTGCCGAAACATTATCGACGCAACGTCGTCAATACATTGCACAAACTTTCTCATCCAGGTGTTCGTGCAACCGTCAAGCTTATAGCAGAACGGTTTTGCTGGCCTGGTATAAATAAAGACGTGAGGGAGTGGGCACGCTCCTGTGTAAGCTGCCAAAAATCTAAGGTCATCAGACACAATAAATGTCCCTTAGGCTCATTTAAAACTCCCGATGCTCGTTTCGACCATGTTCATCTGGATTTGGTAGGACCTTTACCAGATTCAAATGGATACTCTTATCTCTTAACCTGCGTAGAACGTTTCACTCGATGGCCAGAAGCAGTACCTATCAAGGACATCACTGCTGAAACAGTGGCCCGCACCTTCGTCGAACGATGGGTAGCAAACTTAGGTTGCCCTTCAACCATCATTACAGACCGCGGACGTCAGTTTGAATCTGATCTTTTCCGTCGTCTGACCACACTTTTAGGGATCACTCGCTTCCGAACGACCGCCTACCATCCACAAGCAAACGGGTTGGTAGAACGTTTTCACCGACAACTGAAAGCTTCGCTATCAGCTGCAAACGTTTCACAATGGACCGACGCTCTTTCACTCGTATTACTAGGTATCCGCAATGCAGTGAAAGCTGACATTGGATACACTGCGGCTCAACTCGTTTATGGAATGACACTTTGACTTCCAGGAGAATTCGTGGATCCTTCATCCTCGTCAATGAACATGGATCTAACCTCCTACACGAACAGGCTTACAAACGCAATGCGTTCAGTTAAACCTGCTTCCACTCGACCTCAATCAACTGATGTTTTCGTTCAACCTGACTTACGATATAGTACACACGTTTTCGTTCGTCGAGACTCGCATCGACGACCATTCGAATCAGCATACGAAGGACCCTTCAAAGTTCTTCAACGTGAATCTAAGTACTATATAGTCGATAAGAACGGAACCAACGATAGCATCAGCATCGATCGCCTCAAAGCAGCGTATTTAGAAAAAAATCCTATATACGTGGATTTTCCTTCGGTACAATCGAACGACACGACTCCCACACTTATAATACCTCATCCGACAACCAACACACACGATGATACTTCGACAGTATCCGAAAAGAAACTTAAAACGACGCGTTCTGGAAGAAGGGTGAGATTTCCAGAACATTTAAACGACTATTGCACGTAAGGCACATCTCGACATTTTATATTATTTTTTTTAAAAAAAACAATTTTAATATGCTTATATATTTTTATTTCTATTTAAAAGAAACAAAACAAAAAAACAATTTCTTTTAACGCTATTACGTGTTCATGAGTTTATTTTCCATTTTTTTTCCGCCGACATTGTGTTTTTACGCACATACGAGTGTATTTCGACATGCACTTACATTTTCTTTTTTCTTTTCCAGGACGGCTGGAAAAGAACGATGACGTTTATGAGGATCCGAAATTTTCATTGTACATTTTCTTTTTTTACTATGTTGTACCTCCGTCCCATATAGTAAGGAAAGACGACCAGACGCTGCTAAATTAAGTAAGCTATCAGAAGAGTGTTTACCAACGACAAACTCGTTGGGTTTAAACTTCTGGCTGGCCACGTCTTAGGGTCGTCACTGCCCCACTAGGGGGGGAGTGATCTGTAGCGGTAAATAAATCCCCAAAATAAATAGCCCTAAGTTTTCGACATTGGATGCTGACCATATGTTTTAGTGGACTCATCTAGCTGAAGGCGCTCGGTCAGGCATCCGCACCAGATCACGTGTGGTAACGCCGTGCTCAACATCAACCGCAATGGGTAGCCAGATTAGATCAGAGAATTCCGATATATTGGTTATCGCCAAATATACTCTTCCGATCTCCTCGACTCTGTGTTTTGATTTCTCTCGGTGGGAGCGAATCATATTAGAAGGTGTTACTGGTAGAAGCGTTGTCAAACACTGAATACCTGTGACACCATCAGATTGGTCTGTTCAGAAAATAGAATAACCTATGTGGGCTCGACATAGGGCCAACCACTACAATTTTCTTGTTTTCTGAACTTATGTAGACCTGTTGTATATACTTTAGTCACCTACGATTCTTAGACTATCCCTTTCCATCAGGATTAGCCTACTCACTACTCACTGGCTAGGCATTAACAGCTCCTCTTGACTGCAGTTCAATATTCACTAGCTGAGCTTGTCCGTTCACATGATGTCTGAAATATGTATGTCCCAGATGCGGCCCGTAATAACGTGATAGGTAGACAGGAGATACATGAAGCTAAGCAGTATACATGTTTCAGTACAACCATAACCATTCAATAATGATGGAGTCAACTACAATTACTTGGTATATTATATATTCAGTGTTGTAAAATTTTCTGTGTAAGTTTCATACAAATGAGTGAATGCTCACGAATAAAGACTCCAAATCAAACGAAGCTTCACATTATCAAAGTAAATGAGAACTTGTTTAGCTGGGCCAATATTTTCTATGAATGCACTCATAAAAGTCCGATAGTTTGACTTGCTTTTTTGTGTTTATTATTTTTTCGTTTTCCGTAGAGCAGTCTTGACTGTTTCACTTCCATCCATATTTGCTAAACCTCAATGACATGTGTACATTATTCACCGTTTAATAACAAAAATTGTAGTACTCTATTAGGACGATTATTATTTCCATGTAAATAATGCATTAAAGTCATTGTGTGAAACATAAAACACAAATTCACTAAACAGTAAGGCATCCAACTAACAAAACCGTTCAGATAATCTAGCAATACTCGACTGAATAGTGAGCTAAAATAAAGTTGCAACGTGTTTACTTCCTTGTAAATCTTATATTAATAGCTTAATGTAAAGCTAAATAATTTGCATTAGTTATCGGTAATAACACTGCAATAATTTTTTATCGTTATATCATTTTGTGTTTATTTCCGGATACGCAGATGATAGTCTGTTAATCCTCAAAAGCATTCAGAGTCGGAATTTATGAGACGTAAATACTTTTTATTGTATACTTTTAATATCTGTTTGACTGTTTACCTGTCACTGTAGACTGTTTTTATGGCTAGTGGTATTCCACACAATTTTAACATCATTTACTATCAGACGTATTATTTCAGAGACCTAGCATGGTGTGAAAATTTGAAACACATATATATTCACTGAGAACCTAGGAATGTCGAATGTTTAAGGTTTCCTTTCAATTTCATAGCCATCCATTGTATACACCGACAAATCTTTCCGGCTTCTACTGACATGCATACACGACTTGTAATTATAGCTGCTGCCATTGATTTTACAAAATGGAGGACACCTTTGGAAAAATCGTGGCTCGAATACTAGATACTGAAATATCTAAAACATGTAACAGGTGCCTATACCGGAAATAAAGTGGAATTTGCTCAAACTGGTCTAAATGAGTTTGGGTTTTATGTAGCCAATTGTTGGGCAATTACATTTTTAAATTTTTAAAATTGATTCTGCGGCTCAATCCAAGTAAACAGATGGGCAGCATTATTCTGATACACTATTTCAAGTATGTCTGTAAGTAATTAGGTTTCAGAATATTAGGTGACAAATTATCTGTTCTGTTGCGTTAAAAAGAAAAGCGAACCAGTATATTGTATGTCTGTTGCTCTCAACTCAAATCCTCAGTCGGCTTGTCAAAGCACTGTTGTCCACTTTGCTGTATGAAATTATGACTAGTATTTTCTAACCTTCGTGCTTAAGATAAGTCTATATGTTTCTTAAAACAATTTCGCAAATTGTCAGACGAACAGATTATTCAGTTTATTTTTAAGTATTTTAGGTGTTTTATAATGTTTATCACTGAGGTAAATCACATCAGTATATTTATTTTGTTAAACGACAAATATTCTCCATTCGTCTGATTGTTTTTAATTTCAGCTGGCAAAAATATGGAACACTACACACTGCTTCCACTAATAATCATTGTGTGTTTATGCCAAAGATTGGAAACATCTTTTTACCTTAGAACAAAAAATATTTGCAGTAGTCGTGACAAAGTTTCCATTATCGGTGGGGAACAAAGACGCTTAGTTACAGAAGGAGGTCGGGTAACACTAATATGCTGTGTACCAGGTAAAAGTAATGGTCATGATCATGAGCAACTTGTATGGAATAGCCCGGATGGAAAAGAATTAGTAAACTATTTTTCTAACCCAATATCTGATAATCAACACACTGCATATTCTGTGCCTGATTTTCACTCAAAAGATCACTTGGTATGTTTTCCATTATTTTGTGCCAAACTATCTGTTTTTATATACTTCGAGATGTAATGTATAACATTTTCACCTAATTAGCACGCCGATTAGCCAAACAGGTTGCTCTGACAATGTAAGTTACAGGTTAAACCGGTCGTATGAAAACATTACAACTGATTTCCAGAAGTTAGCGATCACTAGAACTTTTAACTTCGTAACCCAATCTGATAAGAGACGATGATGGAGGATTAAAAACCTGATAATTATGTTGGCTGGATTTGTGCTTTATTGCTCATGAATAATACACCGTTTTCTAGTATACACTCAAAACACGTTGGTTTAAATGTATATTATTATTGCCGTCATTAGAAATGCTTCTAAAGTAAGATAGCTAGTGATTATAACTCACAGAGCTTAGTAAAATTTAATTTTATGAGTTAGTTCTCCCTGAATGTAACACAACTGTTCAGTTTTAGATAATTTCTAATCACCAGCGCAGATAAGTTTCTGCTAATGATTACAAACAGCTCCAGAATATAGCGTTGATTTTCAGAAGGATCTTCTTGTAAGGAAACTATTTGATACAGAACTTTTGAGCCAGTAGTACATCCAAGTACCTACCCTGGACAACATCTCAGTGGATATTTTTCCAATTTATTTCGCCATACCTAATATCATGAAGTGTGGTTATATCAACAAATTCGTGTGTTTAAGTAACAGGATACTTAGAAAATACTCACCCATAGAGTATTATCATTACAGCTGTGATAAGACTTGATGGAATTCTCTAGTCTTAAAGCACTCATCACACTTCATCACAACTTAACACGAGTTGCAGGGCGAAAAAACTACTTAAAATGTGATTCTACATCAAAAGCCACGATGAAGAAAAATTGCTGAGTCACCGAAGTTCTTTATTTGATAAACTTACCTAGTTGAAACAACCAAAACGGGAACTTTTTAATCCTTTTGAGCGTGAAATTGTCTTTGAAGCTTCATTTTAGGTGCTAAAGTACATTAGTCTGGAAAGCGTAGAGAAGATTTAATGTCTGCACTTCCGACTGAGTTGGTAGCAAGAATGTCAACCACTCGAATTCATTAAATAACCTTGAAATAAAGGCAAACTGAAACTCCTTTCTCTTTTATGAAGCGATAATCACCATGATGTTTGATTTTATTATTCACAAGAACGCTATTGTTGACATTTTATTTCGTGGTTTAAGTCTTTATTTTATCACTCAGCTTATTTATTTATTTAGAACTGTATTTTTTATAACATGAATTTTCCTCGTCAAAAAATCTCTCCCTATAAACTTATCAGCTTTCTCTTTTTGTAGCTTGTTTGCATATTTGCACTATATTTAGTCAATCCTATAAATAGTCCTTTTTTCGCTTTCACCACTTTTGGCAATTCTATGTCAATGTTGTCTCCGAAACCATTCAGTAGTTTTTCACAAACATTGCGAAATTTTATACATTTATTTCAGTAACTCAAATTATTTGATAGGTTTGTTTTGTTAGTTTAATTTTACTGCAGTGAAGTAGTCTTTTATTACGTGGATCATGATTATATGCATGTGAGATTCCCTTATAATATAAACAATCATGTTTCGATTACTCGGTGTTCTACCATTTAAAATGACTTTTCTTTTTTTATTCAGATAACTATGATGGTTATTCAGAAATTCCAAGCCAAAGATAGTGGCCAGTATACATGTCGAAACACACACCCTAGTTCTACAGCCCTTCCAGCTAGTGTCTTTATAGATGTCAGACCTAGGCTTTTGGCAGACTTCATTCCATTACCCCCATCTAATGTAGAGGATTCTGGTTCAGCAGTTGTGGCTGGTGTTGCAGTGTCTGTCGCTCTTGAAGAAGGACGAAGAGGAGAAATAAAATGCCGAGTTAACTCACAACTTAATCTCGATAGTGTTCAACTTACGTGGTTTTTTCAGGGTCGTCAACTGATTACGCCGTCCATCGTAATGAAACAAATAGGACAAAAGAATTTGTTTAAAGTCAATAACACTAGCCTTGAGAACCCTCTTACTGAAATTGAAAATCCTGATATTTTCCCACCATCCTCACATGAAAGAAATTTTGCATCAGGGTCAAACCAACTGTTTACCGAGCAACTAAACCGCCCTGTTGCCCTTGATCCTGAAGAATTGGGTATACAAATTTCTCAGAATGGACAAGTAAATGCTAGTTATACTTTTTACGCGTACCTGTATATTCTTGCACTTTTTGTAATGCGCTGATTTTTGTATTGTTTGTTTCTTATCACTGTCCCTCCTTATCGGTCTTTCATAAACTTGACTGACTCATGTAGTCAATTTCCAAATTACATTAAATCTAGTTCCAGCAACAAGGTTCATGAGTACACATTCTTTGTTGTGCATGATTCAGGAGTCGTTTCGTCTTTTTGTATTAAATGAAGGCACAAAACAAGATTGAAGAAGACGGTGAATTCGGGGTTAGTGGTACGAGAAATCCAGTTTTATAAATGCGAACCTTGACAACTAACATGTTTCATTACTCAAATCATATTACTTACTGTCAACAAGTAGTACGTGGTATGTTTGATAAATATTTCCCTTCCTTTCATAATTCATCCCTAAACATAGTAATGTTTCGATCTTTGTACTTTGTGTCCGGAACTGCAGTTTCGGATTAAAGAATCTAGTTAAGCCAATTATAAAAAAACAATATGAATTTCTATATTTTCTAGATATTACGATTCCACTGTGAATCGCGACAATAATATATTCGTAGTTTTAGGGCATGTTGTTTACCACTAATACTGAGGTTAACCATAACGGGTAAAAATTTCCATGTACGGATGATAGCTAGTTTAAGATTCGGGAGATAATATTTACTGATGAAATTCCTGAATTATACACAATTTTTCAAATTCAATAAGATTGACCTGTCAACTTACTACACTCAGTTGTCAAGTTGTACGTTCAGTATCATATACGAACGTTGTTTTCAACACAGACTAACATGAGATGGATAACATTTTGAAAACAAGAAAGACCAAGTAGCTATTTTGTTCTAATTGAAATATTGAGGTGGTGAACAACATTCCCCTCGCAGAGTTGTCTTTCCAGTACTATAAGATCTCCAACAATGAACTGAAGTAATGATACTACAAACTATTTACATAATACATATACACAGCTTTCAATCTTCCATTTGCATCTTCCGATGTGTTCTGCAATCTGAACCGTCTTCTCGTCTATTCTGCGCGTGTTATGCTGACGCCGTGCTTTCAATGCACCAAAACTCTTCACTCCGTCCAACGATTGCTTCAAGTTTCGATGCCACGTTCCGCTACACACTACTTACAAACAAACCTTTGAGTAGCGTTTACTAAGCTTGGCCCCCTATCGATTGTCTTCCTTCATTACAATACTAAACATGCTTTCTAAATTCCATTAATCGTAATGTGGGCAGACAGACATCCACTATTTTTGGTACATAGTACTCCCTCACTCCATATATGTCCTTCCAGATAATGTTAATCCATAGTGGAACTGATCTCCTTCCAATTTAAACTATCCTGAACGACTATCAAGTTTTATTCGTTCAATATCTCATTTAGCATATTTTGGTGTTGTGTTGCCTGAGCTAGATGGTTTAATTGTCAGTCTTTCATTGATGTTCTCCTCAACATCATAAGTGCTTACTTAGTTTAGAAGCTATCTTTTCGGTTATTCCACAGGAGTTGAATAGATTCATTCTGGTCTTGTTTCTGGTTGGTTGTCATAATAGGTTATGTTGTTTTTGTTTGTATTTTCATTACTTTTAACGTCCCTTCTGATTATGTGACTGATAGACTTTTTCTGTATGGACTGATAGATTGGTTCTATTTCAACATGTTTAGTTTGGAGAATACACAACCACCAAAAGCATCTATTTAAGCTACAAACCTTCATCATTCTACTTAATTTATATGAGGTGACTTCAGTAAGAAAACCATCGGAAGCCATAGAGCATTGAGTAGCTGTTTCATCGTCTTGTGTGACTCATTAACAGTGTTTTCAATAAAGGATTAAAAGCAGGACGTATCGAGGCGAGTGCTTAAACTTTATCCTGGTCATTCATGTGTCCAACTTTAGTCAGTTGTTGATGTGATATCATCGATTTCTAGGGCTGATATTTGTTTCACTCCTGACATGATTATATTCTACTGGTCACGGTTTATCATTAAAGTTTCAAGAATACTTCTTGAAGTTAGTCGCTGGTAAGCACATAGTCATAAGAGTGCTACCTGGTTTTCAGTGGTTGTTTAGCTGAAGTTATTTCGTGATACAAACTACAAACAAATATTCTATACTAGTTTCTAATGATGTTGTCTCCTTTTTGATAAGCTCTATGTATCTATTTCAGAAGTTTAGAATTTACTCTTTTTTGAAGACCATGTATATTACATTAGATATAATTATACATTGTAGTGTTAGAACTCATAATGATATCAATCTATCGACATAAAATCTTGTTAAGTATACATTCAAGCTTCAACTGAAAAATAATAAACATCAGTTGAAACATATGTCGGCTTTTCGACCCCTTGACAAGATTTATAAAACTACAATAACCAATACATTTGAAACAATCTTGAAATATCTTTTCAAATATAACAAGACGTCGATGGATGTTAGTGATTGGCATCCCATCATCCTCGCAGATTGTTTCGCTCACACCAGACTTCTTCCTGCCAGTGGCTCGGATGAGTTGGAAGAGCTTCCGGTAGTTTGACAATATTTGTGCATTTTAACGCAATCGTTAAGAAAGGTAATCTTCGCATTCACTTCCGCAAGTTTGAATGCGAAGATTACCTTTCTTTCGGTAGTTACCAGATGCAGCTGCTGCTTCCAGCTCATTAGCACGCTTCGACCACCAGGCTTCTCGGTCCTTACGCAAGCTTTTCCCAATTTCCTTACGTAACATCCTTCGTTTGTGGTCAAACTCACGGTCACCCGGAGTAGACCGACGGGCTTCAATGAGTTGTAAGGAACCTGAAGAAACCCAGTGCTTGTAAGCGGAACTGACTTTACTCGCCATTATCATGGCGTCATGCAATTGCAACCAATGCTCATCCTTACTTTTCGGTGGAATGGTAGCTAGCCTAGAAGCTAGCTCGGTTCGATACTTACTAGCGACAGAAGTTGCAACCAGCTTGCTAATATCAATCCGTTGATGGCGGTCACTTCTTTGTCCACTGAAAAGTAAGTTAAGATTGGCGCACACCAAAGCATGATCAGAGTCCAGATAGGTACTCGAAAAGGAGCGGCAGTCTTGTACACAACCACGCCAGCGGTAGCTGATCGCGATGTGATCAATCTGAGTCCAGGCTTGGGATGCAGAGAGAGGACGCCAGGTGGCACATCGGTGATGAGTGTGCCGAAAGTTAGTGCTAGCCAGAAACAGGTTGTGGTCTGTGCACAGTTGCAGTAGACGGTCCCCGTTATCTGACCTGCGACCAACAAGTCCCCATCGGCCACCTAAACGACTCTCTTCTGTGCCTAGACGTCCGACCTGAGCATTGAATTCTCCGGCTAATACTACAATATCTGTCGAACGCACTTTCTGTAGAAGAACAGATAACTGGTGGTAGGATTCATCCTTGATTGCATCCGGGCTGCAATCTGTCGGGACATAGGCGGAGATATCGAAAGGACATCGTTTCTCACGCCGATTTCTCCTCACTTTGATGGAACTTTCTAATCTAACAGCACATAACCGACTGTTAGTGGGGATCCAATCGACTAGTGCTGCCTCAGCTCTAGCGCTTAGTGCGACACCAACGCCAGCAAGAGCAGACGAAGATGCCACAGGGTCCCCGGATAAGCGCACGTGAAACAAGCTTTTCGAAGCGACAGATGTAGAGCGAATTTGTAGTACTTCACCGGAGTCTTGAATACGGGTCTCGGATAGACAGCAGACATCGATATTAAGACTTTCCATAAACATAGCCAGTTCTATCTGTTGTCTGATCTGCATAAGTGTGCGAACGTTGAAGGCAGCCTGTTTGAATGGTGCACGTGGTTTCAGAAAACTGCTTCAGTACTCATATTCAGTGGTAACATACAATTTTCAACCTGACAGTGACTCGAGAACGTTTAGATACAGTCGAATTTCCACCAAAGACGAGCCGCTGTATAAGTATAAAAGAGGGTGACTAATGTGGTAAATAATAATAATAATAATAATAACCATTTGAATCATTTGATTGTTATTCGAAGCGAGAAAAGCAGTTTCCATAGATATAGAGAGTTCATCATTTGCGTGTGGGCTGCGATACTGCCCGGGTGCCCAGACCGAAGCAGGTGGTTATCTTAGGGGGCCACACCCCGAGCCTTTGACCTAAAGGTCTAACCCACATGGCAGTGGAGCATCGTAAGGAGATACAGTCCCATGGTAGCCGGTGACCAACGATTGGTTCATACTCCATTTGTTCCTTTAGGATCCTGGAGCCCATGTGCACCATTGGTTTGGGATCCGGTTAAAGCGCCGGGCATTCACTTTTCGTCTTCTCATTTTCGTAAACAACACGAAGGCACGAGAAGGCAATGAGTAGGACTTCCCTGGCAGACACTGTATACGCGTGGCCGTGTGAGAGTATTTCGAGAGGGAGAGCGGACTCTCCCCACTCTCGGCCGTACCAGAGCATTTGGGGGCAAAGCCACTCTGTGTTAATACGACTATTGGTTGTAAGGACCAATCATAACATCAACTAAACTTTTATCTAAAGATCAATCTGCCAATTTTTTCAACTTCTCTTGTAATCCTGAGGTTGTGTAGTATCTATACTTTCTTACCTGGGAAAGGGAACCAAAGACGTTCCTATCTAATTTTGTCACCTCCAAGTCTTATGGTTAATTCAGAGTGTCTTTAAAGTAATTCTGAACATAGATTTTAGTATTTGTGATGCAATCGGAAATGTTTTCTCAATGTTCTACCTAAAATTGTGATCGTGTGTTGTTAACTAAAACATGGAAACAAATTCATAATTGGTTGGAAACGTACTCAAACTTTCAGTTCCGCCTGATAAACTTCGATTATGAGAATGAGAGACTATTCGGACATTCCTCAAAAACAGAGTGTATGAAGCAGTGAATGTGAAATAAAAAAATTATAGTTAGCACTAATACAAGCTAGTTATGCAAGGATGAACATGTATATAAATGTTATTTAGAGTGATTCTACACTGTAGTTTATGTTAGCTAATATCTAACATCAAATACGTTCAACTGTAGTTTAAGGAGTAAACTAGTATAATTTATAGATGAGAAGTATGACAATCAACTTCCCACTTGACGAATACAAATATGATGAAGAAGAAGGGAGCAGGTAACAATAGTAAAGTTATATGAGACTCTAGGGGCATGGTAAAATGAAGAATTCAAGATGTCACTTTTGAATACAAAGCCTGGTCTTCATTTAAATACTTAGTGAAGCCTCTAGCCTAAACCAGCTTTTAATTTATATTCGTTTTGAGCCTACTTTCTTAACCTTGTGGATATTTTCTAAGAAACTTTTGACGCATTTACGTGGTTAAAGTTGATGAGGTATTATGAAATCGATTGATTTGCTTCATCCTTTCCATACACAACCAAAATAATGCTCGAAGATGCGTTTGTTATCGGTAATCTTTGTGTATACAATAAAACCTCGTGACTAAGTTTGAATTTTAAACCTTTGTAGTCACTTTAACTTCTGTAAAGCATATTTCAGTCACTAGCACATGTGAACTTAAAGAAAATTTACTAGTACTTGCGTTTAGTATGTAACGAAGTAAATAAACTTTAAATTTTTGAAGAGTGATTTTATGTAGAGACAGTATCCCTGTATATTTGCGTGAAAAGATAAATTAGCGAAATTCCTATGAACAGGTTTGATCACTGAAAGCTTTTATTCGGCCACATCCGTAACTGTTTATCTCATCATTTTGACTGAAAAATCTTACCGTTGACTTTTCTACTCGTTTACTAACCGGAAAAGTCATTTGGGAACGAATATTTTTAGTATTCGGGCATTGAAACCCTGATCTGACCGAAAAGTGTCAAGTAGATAAAAATCACTTCACCTATAAATTTTATTGATTAATAAAAATAATATATTTGCAATATCCTAGTGAGCACAAAATTTAATGTCAGATGTAAGTTGCTTCTTCAAAGAATAAATAATTTTTTTCAAATTGTTCAGGGAATAAAGCGGATCAGAACATTTAGTACATAAAAGTCTGGCTACACAAATGTCACATTTAGGTGATCCTGTATTGTACATATTTTTGTGTTCACGTTTATGTGAGTTTACTTACTACTTTTACAAGTTTCCTTACGCCTGTTACTCCTCGTGAAGGAGCATAGGCCGCTCACCAGCATTCTCCATCCAACCCTTTCCTGGGCAATCCTTTCCAGCTCCTTCCAGTTGTTATTCATCCTTTTCATATCTGCTTCTATTTCCCGACGTAATGTGTTCTTTGGCCTTCCTCTTTTCTGCTTCTCTTCAGGATCCCAAGTTAACACTTGTGATGCAGTTTGATGATTTGCGTAATGTATGTCCTATCCGTTTCCATAATCTTCTAATTTTTTCTTCAGCTGGAAGCTGGTTTGTTTTCTCCCAGAGAAGGCTGTTGTTGATGGTATCCGGCCAATGGATGTTGAGTATCTTGCCTAGACAACCATTTATAAATACTTGTACCTTCTTGATGGTAGTTGCTGTAGTTCTCCAAGTTTCAGCTCCGTACAGTAGAACTGCCTTGACGTCGGTATTGAAGATTCTGACATTGATATTAGTAGAGATCCATTCCTTATGATGATGCTTCTTTCGGCCCAGAAACTCCTAACACGTTAAAGTTAATGCTTCCTTGATACCTTTCCAGTTGTCCTTCATATTAATTTGTTCTTTCAGTAGATCCTGTAAGGCCTGGAACCTGTTGTTGAGAGCTACCTTGAATTCATTGAGTTTGTCAGTATCTCGAAGGAAGGCTGTATTGAACCTTTGTATTGCTGTTTGTCCACTTGTCCAGTTCTTTTTTAGCTTCAGTTTTAAATTGGCTACAACTAGGTGGTGATCTGAAGCTACGTCAGCACCTCTCCTGGTTCTCACGTCTTCCATTGTCCTTCGGAATTTTTTGTTGATGCAAATATGATCTATTTGGTTCTCTGTAGTGTGGTCCGGTGAGATCCATGTAGCCTTGTGTATACGCTTGTGTGGAAATATTGTGCCTCCTATGACCAATTTGTTGAATGCACATAGATTTGCAAATCTTTCCCCATTTTCGTTTCTCTCTCACAGTCCATGTCGTCCCATAATATCTTCATATCCAGTGTTGTCTATTCCGACTTTGGCATTTAGATCTCCCATCAGAATAGTTAGGTCCTTCCTTGGGCATTTCTCAATGATTGACTGTAGCCGCTCGTAGAACTGATCTTTAATGTCGTCGTTGCTATCATTGGTGGGTGCATAACATTGGATAATATTCATTAGGATCCCCTCCTTCTTTGTTTTGAATGATGCTTTGATGATTCTGGATCCGTGAGATTCCCATCCTACAAGTGCATTTCGTGCTACTTTGGACAGCATAAGAGCGACTCCCTGAGTGTGTGAAGCATTGTCCTCTTCGTGACCGGAGTATAGCAGCATCTCTCCCGTAGCTAGCCTTTTCTATCCAGCTTGGGTCCAGTGGGTTTCGCTGATTCCCAGTACTTCTAAGTTGTATCTCCTCATTTCCATTGATATTTGACTGGTCTTCCCGGTTTCCCACATTGTTCGAACGTTCCATGTACCTGTAAAAAATTTTGCTCTGGTTGTTAGAGGAGGCATCGGCCTCGTGGCTTCTGAAGGAACTCGGCTTTCACCATGAAGCGTCATAATTCTTCTAAATGAAGACCTTCTAACTCCCAGGGCAGAGTTAAAATGGTTTGGATTATTTTTTCTGGTGAGCGTTTTTTTAGCGAGTTAGTTTTCTACGGGATGGGGACGCTAACCCCATGCCAAACCCTCTTCATTTACCCGGGCTTGGGACCGGCCGTAACTCTAGAAGAGCTACAGGCGGAGTTGTTTATGTGAGTAGGTGTGGAAAGTGTTATATTTATAGTGTGAATGAGTCATTTAATTAGTGTCTTAGTTGTTTGTTCCCAACTGCGTTGAATATGACTGTTCAAAAAAAAGTTTCTGGCTGGTCAGTTAGTCAGCCCCTCACTTATATCGAAAACTGTAGGAATGAGCAATATGTGAAGTGCCTCAGCTATATTTATTTGCTTTTAGTCCAAAAATACTTTTAGGATCATGTGGATATTTTTAACATCGGTTCGATTGTTGTTAAACATCACATGGAGTGCCATTGCCAATTCCATTTGTTGATTTTCAAGTTCTACAAGATTGTTAGGTATTTTTGTTACTCAAATATTACTCCGGATTGATCAAGATTTCAGCAGACTATATGATATAAAATATATTATAATCAATCCGATTTACTCTGTCTTCACTGTTATGTGTTAATGTAAATCGGATCTTTATTTCATATAAACCAACACATTTCTAAATGCGTCAATTATTTAGTAAAGGCTTTAATTCTGTATTGCCCCAGAATTCATGAATTTGACTAACCTAATTCCAACAACTTTATAACAAACTTACACTAAACAGAAATGTATGGAAGGTGGATAACTTTTAGTGAGTAAATTTTCTATTGTAGTCACAATGTTTTGTCGTAAAATACGTTTAGTAATATCCAGCCCGAGAGAAAGTCATATACCCGAAAATTGAGAAATTCGATACGGCAAATTGAAATGAATTCGAAATAAATCTAAACACATCAAGAACAGAACTTCTCAAATGTGTTAAACGCGTTTAGAAAAAGATGTGATACCACAAGTATAGATGGAATCAGAATAATGAAGTAATAACCTTCACTTAGGACGCTTTTTGTCAGGAAACTCGCCTAGCACAGAGGATTATACGTAATCCAAATAATTCAACAAGGGATAATGAACAGCCATAGGAAAAAACGTAACTAGGTGAGGGCTCTTCACATTAAAAGCACAACAGATCGAATAACCAATCAAACCTCTTGGTTGCTTAGTCCATTCATAAGAAGTTAGGGGAGATAATCATAGGACACGTTAAATGTGATCGCAAGTAAAGGGCTCTAGAATATCTTCGATGATTTATAGAAATGTGACACGATTTACAAAGAGGAAGAGAGATGACAAACAGGACTTGTGAAATACAATGCACGCAGAATTTTAGTGAATAAATGAGCTCGAAAGTCGCTACTTTTGCAGTTCAATGAAGTATAATATGTTTGGAGCCAAGATTTACCATAAATTAATAGTTTATGATCATTCATGTAACCACCATTTTATTTCTACATCATTCCGTGCAGATTTTAATTTCATATTTGTAAATTAAGTTATGTATTTAAAATCAACTTAGCATATATTCATTACGTATAAACCGATATTAATTGCTTTTTTTCTCTATGTTTTCAAATTAAAGATACTAGATATTTCGAGAGTGGATACACGTCATTCAGGAATATTTTTATGCAAGGCAGAAACTGTTAATCCAACATGGTCACCACAAAATTCAGAATACGGTTCACGCTTATACGAAAGTGGAGTTGTAACTTCACCTTTCTTGATACAAATCCAAGCCATTCGTGGCATAGTTTATTCACGTCCACGTTTACTCCCGGGAAGCCCCATGGAAGTATTCTCTACAACTGATTCAGATGAATCACAGTTGGTGGATCCATATAAACACTTTGTTAACAAGCGTCAGGATGAACAGAGATTAGATACAATTCCAGGTTCATCCAGTTATTTGCAAACTGTCTTGCCTTTATGGCGTGGTAGTGATAAAGAGAAAGAAAAACCTATTATGACAAATGCAAGAAAGATAGTTCAGGAAGGTGGAAGACTCATATTAGAATGCCAAGCTCGTGGGAGACCGAGTCCCCAACTACTCTGGTATAGAGGTGGTATGGGATCTTCAACAACAAACAGTTCTCAGGCTATTACATTCGATCAACGGATCAAGTCAGCATTACAGCACTTACCTTTGGAAGATGTACAACGAGAACTGGGAATTCTTATCGCTGACTTCGATCATCTTTTTCCTGCTGTAATTAACATGGTAAATATATCAAATGAAGTTACAAACAAAGCACCTGAAAATCCCGGAAGCATTCACAGAAAAGGAATACAAACACATGAATTAGGTCGTTTTCAGTTGTCTACTGGTCTTCGAAAAGATGACCAGGGAGACCCCGTTATAGCAATGTCACGCCTAACAATCAATAACTTAATGCCTTCAGATGCCACTCGTTATACTTGTCTTGCCCTCTTGAATTTGAATTACTATGGTGGGGCTGGAAATTTTACTGATGTTGGGAGGTGAGTGTATATCTGTAAAAATTAATTAAATGAGATGACTTACGTATGCGATAAACCTTTTTGCCTAAAATTGGGTCTTGAATTATTCCATGTCCAAAGACATTATGAGGACAATTCATTATATGGAATAGAAGAAAGTTGTCGTTTGATGTTAGTAAGAATCATTTTTCCTCAAACCTTTTTCTTCAAGTTCAAGAGTTTTAACTCAGATTTAAGTGTCATATTTAGCAAGAATTAACGACGACTTCATGTCGACGTGTCTCGTATGAGTATTTTTACATAAGTGAATCAAAGAGTAGTAGAATAGTTAATTCATTCGTTTTATCCAAAAATTCATGATACTTTCTCCATTGATATTCTTGAATCAGGCAAGAACAACGAATGTAGCAGAGCAATATGAAGTCGTTTATTATATGAATTCCCTTCTGCTGCTTACAACCTAGAAAACATATTCTAACTTTACACATGATGAAATTATTGTCATTGTTTTTGTGTTTTTTAAAGTTCTTTTTCATAATATTCTAACTTGATGTAGGTTTCTACTTAGCTGAAGCTTTTCATCAACACTCGTACTATTTTTTTGCAGCATTCTTCCTGATGTTGTTCTCAGACCCAGATTTGTTCGCTCAGGAACTAATTTAAAAGCCAGCGGATATCCTGGAGAAAGTTGCAGGCTAACATGTGAAGCATATGGCGGTCTTCCGAATGAAATGGGTCTACGGGTTCGGCTTTTAAAAGGTCCTGGTGTCAACAAACTAATTTCTTCTTTATCTTATTCTATGTATTCAGAAAATAAAAATCCTATATTTAAATCCTATGAAGATCTTGCTGAACCTCAGTCAGTTCATTCTTCATACACCAACCCAATGTTTAATCATAAATCATTCGTTAAAGACAACGAATTAAATGACTGGTTTCCATCTGATACACAGTACACAAGTTTGTTGACTGGAAATGGCATGAGCGATAAATCAAATAACAGTGATTTTATTGAAATTGTCAAACCTGGTATGAATCCTCGATATCACTTGAAAGTTGAACCAGATCCGCGAAATCCATACGCAACAATTTTACGTTTGGATATTACAGGTAAGCTTTCGTAAACTATAATATCATGTATCAACAGATTATGGGTATTGTCAGAAAATGTAATTGTATCGCTTTTGATTATTAGTTATTCAGCAACAAACTATTACTGTAGTTAGCTATTTATTCCTAAAGACAATTTGTGATGAATTTTCTGCAAAACATTTAGTGATTGTCCATAAAGCTTGCGTTTCACTATCTGACAAAAAGATATTTTCACTGCATGAAATTTTAAGAATGTTCCACTAATCTTCAGAATTGTTTTGTAACATTAGCACTTTAATTACTCTTCAAATTGATATAGTGAGCAATGATTTAACGAATTGCAGTGGGAACAATACATGAAAATGATTTATTCTCAATCGCCTGTGGCATATTATTACATCCTGTGAAAGAGTAATTACGTAACTTAGTCAGTTGGTTATATCTGCTGGTCATAAATATTTAATTATATGAAATTGTAAATGTGTTCACTCTGTAGGTTATTGATTAATTGATGTTGAGTAATACCCATTTTAAATTATATAAATCTGAATGTTAATCTGACTAAAGAACCATATAAAAAGTAGTGTATTCAGGTATCAGTTAGGTCTATTTTGGAGATCGAAATTTTCTTATCACCAGTTTCTGTTTTTTTCCTACTCATTGTTGGATTTGGGGTTCCAGTATCAAGCACATGTCAGTCAAGACTTCAGCAAACATAACACACATATGATTATGAAACCTGTAGGTAATGTTTTAGTGTTTTGTTATAAGTGTTCTCTGCCTATTCCTGGTTTTTAAATCCTGCAAATTGTGATTCGAAAAATACTTTAAAAAATATTTTTCTTTGGATTTTCCATAACGAAACCAGTCACTCACCTTGAAACTAAGTCAATAAAAAGGTTAATTCTGTACATTACATTTGCTCGAGAGCTATCTTATTTTGGGTATCATTAAAAGTCAGGGAGGACTGTACTATTGTTTTGTCCTAATATGGATCTCCTCAGGAGTGCGCCCATACTGACTACAAGTGAGCCTAAACTATAATTCCTGAACTCTAAATGTTGATGTATTTGGTAAGAATGGATTATCATAAAATCAGTGATTCCAGTAAGAAACTTGATAAGATTCGATTTTAGTTGTGCACTAATTAAGAAATCGATTTGGTTATTTTAATTTAGAAACATATTCAGTTTCAGTAAGAATATGTAATGTATTTTCAACATTCATTGTTTGCATACAGATTGAAGGTAAGGATATTAATAAATTGCTCGTTTTCGATAAATTTTGGATGTAATCATCTAAAAGTATTGAGTAATTTAGAGATATATGATTTATTCTAAGTGACCCCAAAAACAGTATTATGTAATAAAGTGGTCCTTTCTGATAAGGAAGATAATTATATGTAATAGATGGGACTCAAACTCAAAAAGATTTTTTCACTTGTGTAAAATGATTTAACGGGCAATCATCACCAGTCTGTAAATACTTTGTCAATTTGTGAGTGGAAAAATTTAGGATATTTTAGTGATAACATTAATAATATTTTCTGAAAGCGAATGTAGTTCCCATCTTTTTGGACATTTTTCTAACTCATTTAAAGTGTCTTTAGTATTTTTTTTATTGACCTGATGCAAAAAAGTATTTTCTTGATATGAACTGTCAAATCTGACACACTTCAACTGATTTGGGCCGGATTACTCAACTAAAATAAACAGTATCACTTGTGCATATTTGAACTATGAATGATGATAACTAAGTCATTTAAATATTTCATTGAATTATAAAAACAGGTTTGTTTGTTTGTTTAATTACCGACCTAAAATTTAAAAACCTTTCAGTTCTTTTGACGTTGCTTACGTTTTAATAAATTATGTACGTGCTGGTTAGTTGCATTTTACATGCTTTTTGGTCAATGGCTGACGTGTTTAAATAGTGATTCTTGTGATTGCTTCAGTCAACATTCTGAAACCTAAGTAGCAGTTAGATTTACCATTCACTCATAATAATGAAAAATTAATATCTATAAGTGAGATTCTTATAACGCATAGGAATATATGAATTACTATGTTTGAGCATTTGCTCATTTTCTTAAACAACGGCTATTAAGTATTGTAACTGCTATCAGTGAGATTTAAGTTACTAATTATCGACAGAAATTACACCAGATTCTTCGTTTCAATACTTTTCAGATTTAACACCAGAAGATAATTCATTTTATTTATGTGAAGCACTCTCCGGACCTCATTGGCGAGCAGTTACTCCTACATCATCAGAACCGCCTGGGAGAGTGACAGTTTGGTTCGCTCCACCTGCCGCAGAGCCTCGACCTATTAGTGAAATATCAGACCGATTGGATGCGGATGAAAGTGAAACACTCTCTCAACCTGGCAAATATGTTGTTTATGGTCTATCTCATTTACCTTCTAAAATAGCTTGTCAAGCACTAGGACAACCAACACCTCAATGGAAATGGGTGGGACCACAAAGTGGACCAAGTGTACCATTAGGTGAACTAAATGATCCGAAAGGGTAAGTAACCTTACAGATTAGCGTTGTGCACTTCAACTCTGCATTACATTGGAAATTGTAAAAGTCTTAATTTTAGTTTTTAAAGGCTGAAATAAAACAAGTACTGATTTTAAAAACCTAATGTCAATTTATCCCGAGCAATTAAAATACCTAAGAGTAAATATGTCAATAAAACAATAAAGAAAAGCAAGTGATATTTTCGACTGGATGATTAGCGTCTACAACGGTACTTTCTGCTGCTTTGTGTCACTGCGATGTAACAGTTTGATTACTGGATAAATAAATAAAGTGTTTATCATAAAAGTAGCCTTAGATTCAAATTTCTACTCTATGTGAAAAATATAATAAAATTAAGCAAAAAATCCCTTTATTTATCCACCCCTAGCTTTCTTCCAGTCTGCTCCAACACCAGACATCGCCTGTCCAGGTGGCGGTGATTAGGCACATGTAACACATGTCCTAACCAACTCAGTCGATAAAGATTTAAAGTTTTATCAATCGATTTGACACCTTTGTTAAGTGAAATATTCCTTATTTCAACACTGCCCACTTGGCAGTAATAGTAATAGTAATAGTAATGCAAATTTCCAGTCAATGTTTATTTTGAAGAGATATAAAAATTTTTTATTATAAACTTAGAAGGGGTAATTCATCTTGATGTATAGAAACTTGGTGCGTATTAGGAAAAGCAAACGTTCACAATGCCTTCACATGCAAAAGCACTTTAAGAGATATTTGGCTCATATTCAAAACAAAATTGACTCTGTACTAAACAAGATATTAAGTGATATATATGGTTTGTTTAAATTTTCCTACTGATACTTAGAATTGCAAGTGGTCAGTTTTTGACTGATAAAGGAAACCTATGTGTAACAGCACATGTAACCTCAGCAACATTACCATGATTTTTGTCAGTCTGTCCATTTCAGATAGACTTAATTCTTACTATAAAAGTTTTCCTTAACTAGAGCTATTTGATTATTATTATTATTATTATTATTATTATTATTATTATTATTAATGGCTTTATTCAATATTATATTTTGGTACAATATAGAATTCTCAGTACAGGGTATTTCAACAAGTTACTTACGCAAAAAAACAGTAACAAAGACAAAAAAAGGAAAAAAGGTTTAAAAACCTAAAAAATGTACGACTTTTCAAATTAGAGATATGTTAAGAATGCAGGTTATTGACTAAGTTAACTCTAACAACCTGTTCGTCACAGAGTATATTTGCTAGGTAAAGTATTATAGAACTTTTATACTTTTGTTTGCGTGCATGAATTTTAATGTAATTACGTCTCGTTCTACCAGAAGATATACAAGGAGAAAGATAAGAGTAAAGGGCACGGTTAGTATCTGATAAAATAACACCTGCCAGGAGTTTGCATGACATTAGATGTCTATCCACAACCATATTAATTTTGACCTCGAAAGATTCACCACACATCTTGCTAACTGCCTTCAGCACTCTCCTCAATACAGCAAAGTCTTTTCTCAAAAGCCCGGGAAAGAATAATGGAGAACAGTAAAGAATAGTAGGTAATATGCAAGAATCGACAAATTGTAAAAGTAAATGACGAGTAATCTCAAGAGCATGCAATCTCTTTATGTAGTAAGTCAGACGGAAAACCTTCTCCGATAACAATAAAACGCGAGAAGACCAACAGAGATCAGAGGAAAAGGTAACACCAAGATAATTGACCTTCGACACTGTGTTTATCAAAGAGCCTCCAATGGCACAAGCATTATTGGATCTCAAAATGGTGTTTAGATTCCGTTCATGTCTCATGCTAATGTTAATGGCTTGACATTTAGACGGATTAAGTATGAGACCATTACCAACAGACCAACAATCAATACGAGACAAAAACCCATTCATTTCTATGGGATGTAAAGAGGAAGAGATAGGCATACATACAGTGAGATCATCCGCATATTTCACAGAAGTGTTTTCTGTGGAAGAAGGCAGATCATGCAGAAGAAAAAGAGAAAAGAAGAGGTGAAAGAACAGCTCCTTGTGGTACACCTTCATGAGACAGTAGAGACTCTGAACACTTTCCTTCAAATACAGTGTACTGTTCCCTTCCAGTGAGGTAGGAACAGTAACCTTTAGATATGCAAATTTATGAATTACTTTTATTAATTTCTACATTTTAACTAACACCTTGTAATAAGATAAAAAGCGATTCATAATTCTTAATTTCAGTTATATTAAAATGGACTATCAAGACGGCGAATATTCTGTAACTGAATTAACTGTTCCTGCTGGTTATTGGAATGTCGGAGTATTTGGTACTTATTCATGTACTGCAACCAATAGATTAGGCCATGCTACTGGGCATGTTCGACTGCAGCTAGCTAGCCATCCTGGTAGACCAGCTTTAAGAGCTTGTAGAGTAAGTTAACTAATGAATAGTTGTCGTAAGATATACGGTGAATGAGCTCTCAAAAATATACTATATTTTTTTCTTGATCAGGTCACATGAGAAAAACATAAGTTACCATTCAAAAAGTTTAGTTTATTATTGTGTTAATACTGATCTATAAGAATGAATCAACCAAACATATTTTGGGTAATTGTCTATCCTTTAGATTAAGTCTATTCTTGGACTGACCAATTACGAAGTCATACTTTTCAAAAAAGTAAAACTGGATATTTCTTTCATGAATTAGCTTTTGTCATGTCCTTACGAGTATTTGAAATATATGTGTTATCGTTCCTTTCCCATATTTTGAACTAACTATATTAATTCGTTTAAGAGACAGATAGTTTCACCCATCAGTAGATAAATTAGATCCTACGTATTTCATCTGTTTTCTTCTTCTAAAAGGTAATCTCAGTTAAGTTTATCAATAAGTGTATACTCATGTCATGTGTTGTAAATGTTCATTTCACATTCCTTCACTTGGAATCTTTTCATAAAAATAATTTTCTCATTTACAAAGTGATGCAGATGTTATTACGATCAATTTCGAGATTTATCGCCACTGGTGCTAAACTATTAAATTAATATGGTTCAATAAGATTTTTGATTAGAACGTTATTTATTAAAAACTGATATTATTTCTGAAATTATGGGAAATTTCATTGGCACATGAGTGATCTACGAAATGTTTATCTTCTAATCGTTGATGTATCAGTTAACTTCTAATCGTGTTTATTCATCTTTTCAATATTCTGTAACATTAACGTGGTATTTTATTCAAAAGAACTTATTCTTTGGGCTAGAAATTGTCTTGGATGTCAGTTCACTGCGTCAGTAATCGGGTCTCCTGAGGAGCGATGGATCGACTGCTTTTTATCATTCCATTTCAACTATTAAATTATCTTAACAAAGCATATTCGTTGATTATATCACTATTAATAACTATTTTGGAAAATGTTTTCAAAAGAGATGATGGTCATTTAATATCAAGGAGTAGGAAATGTAAAGTACCATTATGGTGTATGCTACTTATGTTGACAGATATAAGTAGTATGTAAATCAATCAGAAGTGGAATGCCTTGCATCAGAAGACTGGGAAGATCGAACTGAAGAGAACAGAAAGGAAAACAGAGAGGAATTGGAATAAAAACCCAATTGGAAGAATTATGAAGTATGTAAAAGACAACTAATGGAATATATGCAAATGATATAATTAATGTATGTACTCAACGTATGTATGTAATTATATATGCATTTCAATATTTCAACTAGGTTGAAGCAACTTTAATTGAATTGTGTGTTGAACCTCCAAATGAGACAGGTGGTTTGCCACTAACTCATTATGAATTAAGAATCCAAACTCATCCACGTGGTGCTTTTCATGGGCCTTTCGCTTATCTTCCTGGTCGCAGAGTGCTGAGATTACCAAATCTTATTCCAGGTTATTACTATCGATTTGCTCTGTCAGCCGTATCAAGAGCAGGAAGAGGACCAAATGCGTATTTACAGGTATGTGCAACAGCACTTATTGCTCATTAACCTTGTCCACCGTTAAAAGTTATCCATCACAAGTCGTTAATGCGAGTTACTCATTCTCATCTTTATTTTTAAGATCTTTTTATCTGACATTGCAGCACAACTCTTATATTTCACACAAATCATTGTAAACTATACACACTATGTATGTATAGAAAACCCAGCTTACTCATTTCCTTTAGCTGATTAACCAGTGATCGCCTTTTGCCACAGAACATCCTAATGTTCCTGATATGCTCAATTTGAAACATCAGAATAAACAGCAGTAGTAAAGTTCATTCGTCCTACTCTGTAGTTAACGAGCAGTTCCCCGTCATAATTTACATCTTATCGGTAACCTTCAACATGACGTGTCAATAATCTGGCTAAACATATACTACTTTTAAGTTACGAACTTATTTTATATTATCTTCTATGTTCGTTTGAGTTGTTTTCAATAGCTTTGTAGGAAGAATGTATTTCTTTTACTTTCTTGTTCAAAGTCAACTAGTAGTAGAATGAGAAAGTATTCTACTATTAGAAAATTGTTCGATTGTGAATGATGCATGCATTACAGATACATGTTTCTTATTTATTCAGTCTTCTATTATAAAATATCCTTTACAAATTACTGCTAATAGAATATCCAGTTAGTTAATGTTGGTAAAAAACGGAAGATTTTTAAGTTTAATAAAGGTATATAATTCATGTTTTAATTAGTATTCGTCGTTTGTAATCATCAATTAACTTTATATGTTGATAGGTTACAACTAATCGATTATCTAGACCTGTACTTAAACTACTTGCTTCTCAGGATTATATTAGTCCCACAGGATATAATGTTCATTGGAATACAGAAACTACAAACGGTATGGATATCAATCAATATAATATCAATATAAGACCAGTAGAAGTTGATTATTCCATGGGTAAGTTTAATATTTTCTCCATAGCACACATAAAGGCTAAGTATGATCATTGTTATTTTTATTATTATGTAAAATAAAACAAAACTGCAATATCTTTCAAGAGGACGAAATCATTTGAGTTTCTGATGTCTTGGTAAATACTTTAATTAATGATGGTGAAGCTCAGTTGTGCTTAAGAGTGTTTAAACATTTCAAATATAATTTTTTTTCAAAGTTTTTATTGAAATAATTAGTGAACACCGAATATAAACTGGATGTCAATGAATGGTAAGAACAGTTTTTCAAGTTGTACATTAAAATGGACAAGTCTTCATAAAACTATTGAGATACTTAGGAATAATACTACCATTAATAGAATATTTTAAAGAAAAAGGAAATAAAGTCATTATTCTTGTTCCTCTAAATTATGATGATTGTAAATATCTTGGTCGGTTGGTTTTTGAGTCTTATGAATTAGATGAATGCTGCAACTTATGCTAGTAACAACTGCCAACTAATACTGATATTAATACGAAACAATTAGATGAGAATGGTTTCTCAATTTCCTTCGTCCTCATTTCACTTATTCCATACGCATATCTGTAATTCAAATGCAAACTTTCTTGTTTGAGTTCATGTGGCCCGTTTTCACTAGATGCGATTTCGTCATGTGTATATAAGTAATAAATTTTCTATTTTCCTGCTGTTGTTGTAAACATAAGGTGGAAGAAAACTATTTAGGAATGACAAGACCAAAATAAAATAGTGATCCGTAAATTCAGTTAGTGCCTGTCTGTAATATATGGGTTGGCCTTACTTATCTTGATTAATATGATAGGAATAGTAAAAGAAAACACAATTTATTGACAGTAAAAAAGAGAAATTCGAAATGGTGTCCACTTTTTTTCGCTCTCCAGATATTGGGCATCTTATTATTTTAAGTCTGCTTGTTACTCTACCAGCTGATTTCTTTCTCCTTATTCCGTTTTCAAAGTTTTCTTTTACCATCGATTTCCTCGTTTTAATTAGCAGAGGTGTCTAAAAAAATTAAGTCATTGAATTTTAGCATAAGATTCTACATTTTTGTATAAGGCTTTTGAAAAGAAAATTAATTTTCAATAGGTACATATGCCCAATAATTCTTCAAAATGTCGGTTAGTTATTACAATCATTTTTTCTGTATGATCGAATCCTGTACTCTTAAACATCTATATGTGTAAAGTTGTCTCATGTCCTAACCATATATGCTGATTGATCATACAGTAGTAACCAATCTTCTGTTTGTCTAGTCCTTACCGCTGATCAAATTCTATCAACTAAGTTACAATATGGCCAGTAGTGTGACGGCAAACTGTACATATTACCTTTGAACATAGGTATACGTGAGCATAAACTCGATCCTTGTTTCGTACTGTTTGACACTTAACAGCAAAGTTCACTTCCATTACTGAGGAAACTGATACACAGACATTAGTACTGAGCTATTCTGCTCGTGATAGATACTCCTTAGGACTAAAAAAATATTTGTGTTCAAAATGTGATGATGGTAATAGTGATTTTAAACAGGTTAAAGATATGATTTGAATTTCTGCGGCTAGTTTGTTCAGTTACCTACAAAATAAACGAGAAATTCATTTTAATAATCAGGTTGGAAGATGCTTAATGGGATAATTTCCTTATTCATAAAATTCATGAGAAATAATCTAGTCTTGTTTTATTGACGATACAATCTTTCATCGACTTTTATTTTGTAAAATATAGTTTTGTTCATGTTATTCTATCTGCCCAGTTTACCTTCCCATAAAAGTATAGTCGGTGGTACCATAATTTATGGACGATCTTAGAGCGACGCCAAAGTGATCTTGAGACAACTCACCTTACTATAGGTCTAAAAGTGGGTTACAAATTAGTATAAGGAATTAAGATTAGGATTTAGAGTTAGAATTTGGGTTTAAGAATTAAATCAACAGTTTTCATCACGAACTGACATAAGTTATAATGCCGAAGTGCTATTTAATTATATAGGTAAATGAACTTCGCAGTAAAATATAAAACTTGATATCTTCAATCTAATTGGTTCGTCCATAAATTATAATCTCGCCGTAAAAATTTTTTCTTATCTTGTGAAACGATATAAAATGAAGCACATCCGATTGACAGAAAATAAATGACGTAATTTTTGGTTGATTAATTACTGTGTTTAATATAACAACAGAGTTTTACAAATACGAGGGCTCAGGGCATTATTTTAGGGCTTGAGCCATAACTACTATAAATACATCAGGTAAATTGGAATGCAGCTAAATATCATAAATTGTCCACTATAATTTCAAAATTCCCATTAATTCTTTTGAATCTCTGGTTTAATCAAATCTGACAATTAAAAACACACAATTAATACACTACTCGATATATTAGGGATCGTGAGCGAGTGTTAAAAAAATTATTATAATTCAACACTAAATTAATATTATATCCGGGTCGTCATCGTTATCTATGCATCTCCATATTTTTTATACTTTAAAAATGATGAAACACTTCAATTCCTTCGATGTGAAGTATGAACACAAAGAATGGTACAAGTGAAGACTCTAAACAAAAATACACTCGTTGATTTGTACATCCATTTTGTTTATTATTTAGGAAAAAGGTCACATATGTCAAAGTGCCTAAAATGGTAACAAACTACATGGTACATATCATTCTGAGCATAGTTCACGTTACTTTATTACAAAGAATATCATATCATACTGAACAAAAATCACATTGAAAATGAAACTAGTCTTAAATTGAGCAAATTATTACAATATAAATAAGTTGAGTATTAGTCTGAGCACTTATCACTGAATTAAAAAAGGAATTATGTGATATATTAGCGCAATACATTTCGAACAATCTGATCACGCATATACTTGATAAGACATTATTATATCAAAATTAAAGGGTCAACTAGACTAGAAATGGAGGGTAAGAGAAGACAAGGATAATAAATAAAATAATATGAAAAACAACTTGAAACCTGATCACTCTGGATAACAAGCTAATATAACCAGGGTAGTTTTAAGGTGAAAACAATATGTTTTTGAACATACAAAGGGGATTTGAATTTTCGTATGGTTAAGGCTTCAATAAACCTTAGTATACGCCCTTCTACACTTTTGTACAACACCACAAAAATCGAGTTAAGATCAATCTTATGACCTGTTTCAATTATAGAGGATGATGGATGTTTATCCTCCATTCTTATCGGGTCATTTGATTTTTTTTGTTTCTGTAACCATTTAGGTACATGTTCACACACCCTAATTTTGAGATCACGATTGCTCCTCCCTATGTATGTGTGACCACATATATACTTAAATTGGTAAACACAGTGGGATGTGACGCAATCGTTTTCTTGTCTTTTAGATTTTTGATGATAATATCTCACATAGTTCTAATAATCTTATTACACTATCGAAATTTATCAAATGGACTAATTGCCATATAAAAAGAATGTAATATTCAGCAACAATCACATTGAATTAGAGGAAAATGTGATCTCACTTTCCTCCCGTCATATGAGTTGTGCTTTAGTTCAATGACAATTTAAACTATGTATATTTTGTAGTTTAGAAAATACAGTATTTCTCATTTGTAAAGTAGGAAGATCACGGTGTAAAATGTTTTTTATTATAGACCATTGATTTCTGATTCTTATTTTATTACTAAATAGTCGTTTTGACGAAAGAAACAAAAAATTCCCTTGATGCAGTCTATATGTACTATAGTGTTTATGCAACTATCTAAATAAAACTAGGCTTCATTTGATTTATAATTTAATCCAAAAATTAGGTGAGATAGTTGGACGTCCTATTGGATCTTGGACTCATTTTAATAACATTGAACCTCTGTGTGTTACATCAGTGGCAGAAGATCAAAAAATATGCAATTTCTTAATTGACGATTTAAAGCCAAACAGTGCATACGAACTAGAATTATCTGGACAGAATTCAATGGGATTCTCAGAAACACAACGAATCATATTTAGAACATCATCATTGACAGGTGTGAATGGACGAATACTAAATATGCCCTCAACTATGAGGTTAAAAGGGAAATCTAATCATGTTCATCTAGCAAATAGTTCACTTATTTTTCTGTTAGTCACTATTCTACACTTCAACTTAATTTATAAAAGACTTATGTTTCAGTTATTGATAAACAAGATATAGATGTTATATAAGAAAACTTCTTATAGGCAAAGTCTGACATAATCGCATTGAATAGCTGCCTCATACGTTGATTTGTTTTTCGCCTAGTATATGATTTGATATTATTTGATATTGTTGTAAAACTATTATGTTGAAGCTCTTCAGTTCTCTTACTTCCTCAGTGTCGACTTGTTCATCATATTGTGATACTTATAAATAAACAGATTTTAATTATAATTGCTTTTATTTTAGTTCGTCAGATGTCTACTTCTTTATTAAGTTTATATTATTATTCTTTACATCTCCTTACATTTTATGAATATCTATCAACCTTTGCTGAATATTTGAATTCATAAGATTAGTGTCACTTTCATCGTCTTCTCCATCTTTATATTTATTCATATGTCTATTCAGTTACATAACCCAGTCGGAAAATGTTTTCATTGTTGTTATCCTTTGATGTTTTATTTACTATAACCTTTTTATAATATCAAACGTAATATTTATTCATAATATTATATATACACTTCACCACCGTTTATATAATCATCAACATCGTAATTTCTCTTGTCAATGTAATTCTCAGTGTTTATGCTATTTTTCTCTATATTTTGAATTACCATAATCATTAATATTATTGTTATCGTTATTATTACTATTACTTTACCATTATTATTATGCGAAAAATAAATTACTTTTTTCGACTAGTTAATTTCATCTTTCGTGGTCATTGAAAATAATGAATTATGAACTTGTAGTTTGCAAGTTAAGTACCAAATGAGTATTTGCAAAACGAATGTTTTGATTTTAATTAATAATTGATAGGCAGGGGGAATAAGAGATTTTGAGCTATCGTCTATTTCTATCAATTATCGTCCTCATCTTAATATCGCGGCTTATAAACCTGGTTTTAGTTTAAGGACAATATTGTGATTCATTTAATTGGTACGGTACTTTTAGAATGCAACTATACTGAAAATCCATCCATAATACCAAAAATCAAAATAAAATGAGTGTTACAAACACATTAACGAAGACCCTAATATTTCGGTTTTTTCATATTGAAATATAGATTGTTATCAAGGTTTCTGTATTTTCTAGTCCTGCTGTATAATATAAAATTTGATTAGACTGCTACCTTTATGTGATATAATTCGAAAAAAAAGTTAGCGGAAGTTTAAGAGCAAAACACCATATGAATTTCCCGACGATGTAGAAAGTTTGAAATATTCCCATATTATAAATTAGGACGCCATATATAAGCGAACAATATTGTTTTCGATTAGATCCTCATCAGGCAGTAATATTTATATGCATATATGAAATTATTAAACCAATCAAGGTATTTTATGAGTCAATGATAACAATGAAAACGACTACATAATATAGAAAGTGGCGAGTCAAAATTCGATTGTCGAGTTCCTACTTATTTTATTATTCAAAAAACATTTTCATCGGTAGTATTGTCGGTTTTATTTTGTTCAGTTTAGTTCTGATATTTTTTGCTCGTGAATCAATGATTTGTCATGTGTAGTGAATCCCAACAGTCAAAAAATAAGTTAGAGATTTCGTTCAACTAATAAACAATTATGAACTGTTTCCAAAATCCAACCATCTACGGAAAGTCAGATGAAATTAAAGAAACAACACTAATCGGGAGTCATGATACTGAACATATAATCTGTCTGGTCTGCAAATACTTAAAACATATTTTAGATGATGTATGAAATAAAATACTGCAGATAAGCCATATTTATTTATTAACCTCAGTTTGTATATTCTTAGGAAAACTTCCTCGATTTAAACCTTGTTATACACTTCTAGTCAAGTATTCTCGATCAATCGTTTATCAGCATACATATATAATGGGAAACCTACATTTAAAACAACCGTTAATCGTGAAACACTTTGACCCAATAGTAAGATAAAATTCCTACCATGAATATTTTTATTTCTACGTAGTTTAGCGAAATGAAATTTGACAATCTGTGAGTGAAAGCACAGTAAATAGCATACAAGGGGTGACATATAGATGTATGAATTTTGACGGTAGGGAAGATTTCTAGCTGAGAATTATTTTGGAAGTGCTTTTTCTCTAACCTGGATGGTTTAATGATGAAACTCCTACTGTTCTTTTCGAATCATGTGCTAATGATTTTAGTCAGAGGTTTCACAACTGAACCATCTCACCTAGCACACATCTCAAAAGGAGGTATAGATACATCTCGTCCCAACTTATAGTTTCCTAAACACGTACGTTTTATTATTCTTAGCTTGCACAGAACATCCTATGCACTGTTCTTTACTAACCCTCATATTATTTAAACTTCACTTATTCCTAAATCTTGTACAATGGGTTACCTTAAAACATAAACTATTCTAAATAGTTACAACAGTCCGCTTAAAGCTGAGTAGAACTTCTAAACGAAGTAGTAAAAGTGATGAAATACTTCCTTATTTCTACTTTATTTTCACTAAAATCTTATTTTTCAAACATTCCTTCCTATATGAGCTAGATTGTCAGTGGATTTATTTCAACAGAATATGTAATTTCATACCCCTCTCTTTCGTCTAAACATCAGGTTTGAAAATCAGCAATAATCTTCATCCTCACAGTGAGCTTCCATATTTTTACCGTACTAGTCCTGATGCTTCCAGTGAAAAAACCTTAAATTGACACAAATTATTTGGGATCAAAAATGACTATACTATTTCTTTGTTTGTTGGCAGATGGCAACAAAACAGTAAGACAGGAAATAACTAAAGTAAGTTTTTTTACTTAATAAGCTGCTTTATTCAGATTATTCTTATTATTATAGTCGACTCTATGATCAGTACTATATATTTGGTCAAACTGCCAATATTTTTGTAGCGCATGGGCCAAAAAGTTTATCTAAAACGGTTTGATCCAACCAAGACTACAACTTAGTAACGATGATCCGTCCCTATAAATTCTGCGTTTATGGACTTGTCAAATCGAACTGTCGCTGACTTCTTCCAAGAGGTTTAGTTAGTTGCATGAGGTTATTATTCCAAGTGAGATTTAAATTCACGAACTTGATATAAATTAAAGTATTTAACCTTTTATAATCGATATTTAAGGTCAATTTAGAAGGGGCTTGTTTGGTTAACTCTGAATAGAAAACTCAATATGGGGGAAGTAACGAATCATTTTTCATTAGATTTCCATTTGAATAAAATATCATTTAATCCCTCGAATAACTTAAATTGACTCGTTCTGTTGATAACATGTTGAATTAATTAATGTGATTAAATCTATAGGAGAGTAATAACAGAAATTAAATCAAAACAAAAAAGGCATCAGAAGATGGGTGGTATGATGATTAAGACACATTCAGTGTAGGCTGTTTTTTATACATAACCCTTGCTATAGTTAACGTATTGAAAACACCTGTGCAGTTTCTAAATTCCTGAGCAAATCAAGTGACCTACAATATACCACAGTGAAGGTGGTTTCGGTTATGTTGTGACTTTAAACTTGGGTCGATGTTTACCCCGTGCCAATCGTTGCGTCGTTGATTGAAAGATTAGAGAGCAGCGTATTATATCGATCGATTCGGTGACACGTAAACACGTACGAACGACCTAGAGTCCCGATTGGTCCCGCCTCCCTGTCTAGCCCAGCCAGTTGAGTCCAGAACACAAGTCACAACCTCTGAGATATGAATCGTTATATTTCAAACATACTCTGCTTATATACCAATCAAGCATACCACATCGTACCATAAAATAGAAAACAACATTTTGTACAATATTTAACAAGTGAACAAATATCGACCAATAGGAAATGTCCAATTAAAGCCCAAGGACACCATTGGACTTAACATGATAATTGTTGGTATATTCCTCTGCATCCCTAACAGGTTATGATGTCATGCCTTCTATCAAGATGTATTCGGAATACTTTTGTGCACTTTGACGAACACTGAGACATTTAAACTACCATACTAAGCAATACTGCTGATGTTGACTTATTGGCGTCATTATTTTCCCAAAACAAGTGATTACACAGTGAAAATTAGATTTGTATGTGTATATGTTTAGTATGAGATGTAGATACTGGGCAGGTAGTGATTTTATTGATTTGTTTACTTAGCTTGATAGTTAAATTCACACTCTCTGACTAGTATCGCCAGAAGTGAATTCTAAAAAATACTGCATTGGAACTTCCTTAGAAGTAATTGTCTTGTTTCTTTGACATAAAATTTAATTGATTGATAGTCATAATTGTATCTTTCCTATCTGCCCATTTATTTCTATTTTCTTCTTCTATAATCTGACCTCTGTCCTAGGCATTTGTTTATTTCATATGTTGATTGACAGGGTCCATGTTCACATGAATACTGGCTTCTGAATGATTAAACTGGAAATTCATTTGCCCCACGGCAATTTTTTTAAAAAACCCCCCACCCACCCTTTTTGAAAATGTTTTTTCAACCCAAAATTGCAATATTTTTCATCCCGTTTCGTCCAATGAAATGGCTAGTTTTCAAGTTCGCTTTTAATTTGTTAGTTATGTTTTGTCGGATTGCTATAAAACATCAGTACTTGTCGACGAAGTACATTTTAATCATCATTATGGAGGACAGTAACGTGCCTAGTACAAGCGCTGTTGTTTCTCACGTAACAGAAATAGAGGAAGTCTTTTTGACAACGTTGTATCTCGTTGCGTTCCCATCGATTGAAGCGTTGAAGTCCGCTATCACAAATTATGAAAGATCAACTTACTGTCATTATGTAGTTCGAGATTCGCATTTGTGCAGAAATGAAAACTCGTATATTAAATTTGTGTGCTGGAGAAATGGCCGTATAACATCTAGCGGTTCGTCGCAGCTGATCAGACGGAGGAGGTAATTTTATTAATATTATTGACATTTTTTGTCATGAAGGGCTTCCATGAACACTCAATGTCCGGCCTTCATGTATTGTAAGATTATCGACGGCTACCGGACTGCTGTACGTGGGAATGTGCATCACAATCACGAGTGCAATTCCCTGAG